CAGCGTCTGAAAAGGGAATCTAAATGAAACGTTGGTGTCTTTAAGGATTTCTACTCTGGCTCTGTAAGTAGAAAATTAAGTTCTGAAGTTTCCCACAACTTCAGAGAAAGTTTGAAGAGACCCAGAACAGCTCTTCTTCCATTTCTCACCTTGAATTGTGGCTTCAGCTCCTTCGTCAGATATGATAGTAACAACAGAGACATCTACAGAGACTCTGCAGGGGGAATAGATTCACAACGATGCACTAAATCTGCGATGCTCGGTGCATTCTGGGAGATGTCTAGTCATTTATATTCCTGCTGCTCCCTCCAGCTGTGTCGCTAAGTGATTTCCTGGTTTCCTAGAAAGCTTTTAACGTCTCCGGAGGATCGAGTCTCGGCGGCCAAATGAGAGCGAAGGTCTGTAACACCACAAGCTGCAATGCATTCTGGTCTGTTTCTAGGGCAGATTTCAACCTGTGTGCCCGAAAGTAGGCAAAAACAAAACAAACTGTAAACTTGTACTTCGGTGTGATAGAATAACATCTGTGGGAAAATAAAAACCCCTCCACCAGATAACAAGACATGGGTTTTCCTCTTAAACTGAGTCGACCTGGACAACTTTTAGTGTAGCAGGACGATTAAAATCAGTCTTTACGGGAGAAACTTTTTCGACCGAATACATCAGGGATCCAAAATATACCTAAACTCATCACATATATATGAATCCAGGAGGGACTCGAGTGTGAATCAAATCCATCCAAACATAGTCAGAAAACTCTAAAAGTAGCACGTTGGTCCATAAGTTTGGCAGAAGAGACCAGCAAACCCAGCAGAACTCTTCCCAAACACGATAGGATATAAATGTTGAAGTGGTTTTCTTCTAGTTTTTTGTTGAGTTTGAACTTATTGAGTTGGGCCCAAAGTGACAAACAGCGTATTGGAGTCACACCAGAACTAGAAAAATGGATTAATATCAAATTATAACAGGAACAGGTTGTTATAACGAGATATGTTCACGTTATAACAAGACCTCTTATGTCACAACAAAATTTTGACGTCATAACGAAATATTTCCGTGTTATATTCAGATAATTTATCATTACAACGGGGATTTTTCACGTTACAAGAAGAATTCTTCTGGTCATAGCGAGATATGTTAACATAACGACATGTTTTCAAGTCCTAGCTCAATATTTCCAAGATATTTTTGCATCACAACCAAGTGTTCTCATGTTATATCGGGATATTTTCACATTCTGAGATATTTTCAGGTCATAATAAAATATTGTCTTGTAATAACGAGATAACTTTATGTTATAATAAGATATTGTCATGGTTTTCTTTAATAATTTCCCATTATGTATTGAAATATTTTGTTATTATGAGAGCTTTAAAATGATATATTTTTACACAATAACAAACTATTGGCATTATAATGAAATATGCTATAATAAAATATTTTTGTAAGATATTTTCACGGTGTAAAAAAATACAATATTGAGATATTGTCACACAATAAAGAGAAATTTTCACGTTATTGTAACATTCAGATGAATCACATTATAACAAGAAACGTTTGTTAGGAATTATTCGTATTTTCTTGACGACAACAATCGTTTCATGTTTCTGCTCTCGGTGCGGCTTCAACACGCTGCTTCAGATTCGACACCTCAAAATTAGCTTCATACAATTAGCACGTTAGCTTCGAACACACTGATATGTGGCATTTACCTTTGACACGATTAGCCCGCTAGCACGCTAACAGGAATTAGCTTTAGAGAGCTGCTGTTCTTACTCGAAAAATCGTTAGATTAAGAGGATTCTGGAGGAAGATTCTTCACTCGTTTGGTTGGATAATAACTGATATAGCTAAACGCCCCTTCAGATAGATATAGTTGCAGTAATTAGTCTAATCCCGGCCTGTCTACCGTCGCTATGAAACCACAAACAGCCTCCTTTAAATAGTGAGAATTGTTGCATAGCTTTGCATGATATTCAGTATAAGTGACGTCTGTAAGATATGAAGCGTGTTGCTCTGCACGGCTGCAGCGGTAGCCATCTTCAAACCTCGTCACCGCGTCAGTCCCCGGGGCGAAAAAAAACAAACTGCCTGACATTGCTGCTGAGTCGCCCCTGAGCAAGGCACTTACCCCCGACGGCTGCAGGGGATCTGCTCAGCGGCCAGCAGCAGAGAGGACGACGGCCGAAAACTCCACCGAACGCGAAGCAGGTTGTTGCAGAAAACAGGCTGACAGCAGACACAAGACGCCGTCATTTGCACAACAGAGGCCATTAAAACGGAGCTCGTTCCAAACGCCAGATTAGCATAGTGTGACAGCGATTTTATGCACATTAGCATCACAAAGTTAGCGAATCTCATCAACTTCCAGTCTGTTGACGGCAGAGAGGGAAACATCACGACGGAAAATAGCTGTTTAAGCGGCGGTTCGGCGGAAACGACACTAATGTTCTGTTTTTTGTTGATATCTCTCTCCAAGAATAAATTCACAAAACTGCTGCTATTTTCACACCTCAATTATTCTGTTTCATGCACAGCCACCCGTCAAGATCAGACTACACAAGAACATTGAAATAATAATCGTGATGCTTCGATCATAATTAGAGATTTTTGACGGCTTACATGACGTGCAAACCTACCAGTTTAATTCAAAAATAATGATTATGAGCGAATGTGGTCGGCGCGGAAACCCTGCAGGGATGCTGTAAAAGTAATGGGAAGCTATTCCAAAGGTGTCCACCCTTCTGACAAACTCTACCGCCACTTCTTAAAGGTGGTGAAAATCCATTTTATTGTCTTTAGGGGTTGTTAGAAACTTGTAGCTGTAAAGTAAAAGCTGCTAACATATGATGACACTAAGCTACTAGCCTCCCAGGTTTACAAGTCAACTAAGAACGTGAGCTACTATTCGCTAGCTAGATGTGAGGTCTGTATAGGCCCATGAACAAAACTCACCAAATGTTCTGTTGTAGGAGTGAACACGAGGGTCTTCATGCACTCCCAGCATCTGAGGAGCTGAACACCCAGAGGATTAACGTTGTTATCGACGATAACGTCACCACAACAATAAGAAAACCCTTAGTGTTAGCGTGTTGTGTGGCTAATGTGGCTAACGTTAGCTTCAATGGTCCGTCCACAGGTCAGAGCTCTGTGGAAACTTTGATTTAAACCAATGAACAAGGACAAGCTAAACCTAAACTCAGCTGCTTTTTACATCTGTTAGCTTCTCTCTGTGAAACATAGAACTGGACTAAAACCAGGAGACCTGATACTTTCATGTCATATGATCCTTAGAGAGAATGTTGAAAGTGATAGAAAGTTCTGGTGTCCCAGTTTTAGCAGGACGACATAAGAGACTTTCTTTAATTTGTTGAAAAGGACCTTTACATCTAAAACTTCCTGTTGTGTCCACTGTCTCTCTGTTGTCTTTGTGCACTCTGATCCTGAGCTTGATGTGCAAAATACATGGTCTTTTCCATGTTTTGTCCTCTTTAAAATGTGTTTTTTGCACCAACGCTTTCGGTTTTGGCGTCGAAGCCAATCAAAAGCAGCTGAGACGGACGAACCTTGCATTCAGGAGTCCATGAATCACATCGTCCTCGGTTTGATTGCTGACTTTTCTGAGCCTATTTTCTGCAACCCGTCCGTTCGCTTCACGCCGTTTGATGCAACGAAGCGGGAATCGATTGACCAAACTAAGCTTCTCCGATGGCTACCGTGCATCCGTGTCCTTACTCCTATTAAACGCGATGCTTTGTGCAAGTCGGGGGGGCTGCAGGGAGGAAGGACGGCGGCTGAATCTCACAGGACCTGAAAAAACAAAAACCCCTCGACTCCTGACGACCGACTTGCCTCCTGTGAGGAAAAGGTCTCGGCGGGCCTTCGGGCTTCGCAGCGAGAGACGCCGCCATGCTGTGCACGATGTGTGTCAGCTCTGGTAAGCACGGCGGAGCATAAAACTACTCCTTCTGCATGCAGATCTAGAAAACCGACATCATAAAAAGTCGAGTATTCCATTTTTTATTACTTGAGCTCTTTGCGGCGAAGCTGTTAATGGAATTCGGAGCTGCAGGGAGACGCTCGCTGGTTAAGACCGCCGTGTTGGATTACATGTCGCTGCGCTGAGTGGACTTTTATGTGAACTAAACTCCGTGTTATTTCCCCAAAGCCTTCTGTCATCCCGGCTTTACCCAAAGTGCGTTCTGCCATCCCTGATTCATGCAAAGGAATGGAACAAAAAGAAGAAGAAAAAAAAACCACAAAGAAAACCTTCATTCACCAAGGTAGAATATTCTAGCGGCGTACCCGAGCGATGCATAGACACGAGGAGAACGAATTAAGGGTTCACCAGACATCAGAACTTAAGGACGTTTCCGTAATCAAAAATAGAAATTATCATAAGAAGCAAAAGTCAGGAATTAATATAAAAACATACCAGAAAAAATCCCTCCCTGCTTTAAGGGAATCTGTGTTCATAGAGGGCGACGTGAGAACAAACTTCATCTCACAGGCAAAGAAACGAAAGAAGAAACTCTGTCCCTTTCTCTACTAATAAATAATCCATGCACGGTCCCTTTGCCAGTAAACCCTTTTTGTTATTCAATGTTTATAGTGCTACCAGTATGCAAACCCTGAATGTCCACATAGTAAATTATCAATGAAAAATATTCATATGTACAGTGTAGCTCAATAAAACGTCTCTTTAAATTCGATCTGCATGCAGTCAACTGCATAATATACAGGCAATAAGTACGGTCAGTTGTTGTTTCTTTGGCAGGCCAGAATCCAGCTGGACATGCATAGAGAGGTATGTACAATCAAAAAACCGGCTCCAGGTCGCCGAGGAGCCTGAACTCTCCCATGACCTGGAGGCTGAATCAGTGTGCAAACGTTAAAGAGTTTGGAGAACTGGGTCGACCAGCGGCGCGGCCGGATCCAGCGGCTGGATAAGGTGTCGCTGCTGCTCCGGGAAAGTCTCCACGCCCCTGGCTCAGCTCTCTTCAAAGCCCGTCGTCCCGCTCTGAGTCGGGGGAAACAGGCCTGGAGACGGTGAAGATGTCCTGACGTTGGATTTTGGTTTTGGGCGTGGTGGAGGCGGGCGGCGCCCCCGTGGACGGCCGCCGCTTCTCCGACAGCAGTTTGATAATTTCGGCCACCTGACTCTCCAGGGCGCCCAGCCGGCCTCCCAGAGTCTGGATGTCACCCCGGAGTTCCAGCCGGGTCTCATGCAGTGCCGCCTGCAGGGCCTGCTCCGGTATCGGGCAGAACGGGTGAGGCGACCCGGCTCCCCCGGGGAGGGGGCTGTGGAGGAGGGGGGTGACGGCGGCGGGGGTCCTGGCCTCGCCGGCCCGGTCGATCCTCAGCTCGCTCTTGGTGATGCCGCTGTCGCAGGAGTCCGTCTTGCGGAGCGGGTTGTTGCTGCCGCCCTCCTCGGCGTCGCCGCCGCCCCCGGCCTCCTGACCTTTACCATCCTGAGAGAGCATCTCCACGGAGACGGCCTTCACGCTGTTGTTCAGACCCTCCTTCCGGGCCTCCGTCGGAGCCATGTTGTTTTTCAGCCTCATCCAGCCGCTGGCCTTGGCGGCCGGCTTCCCCAGAGCAGGACTGGTGCTGACTTTGAGCCTGACAGTTTGCTCACCGACGCCGCCAGTAGAACTGGGCTGCAGCTCCATGATGTCACAGTTGTTCTGCTTGGCGGGCGGCTCGCTGGGATGGCTGTAGGCCAGCGAGCTCTGCATGGGCGTGACCTGCGACACGGTGAGCACGCTGCTGCTGGGCGGAGCTCCGTTCTGCAGGGAGGTGTGCGGCCGCTGCAGGCTGAGCGGCAGCGAGTGCTGCAGGCTGGAGTGGCCCAGCTGCAGGCTGTGGGGGTGCAGGTGCTGCTGGTGCTGCTCCACCTGCAGCTGGTTCTTTTCCAGGTCCGGCTGTGAGGCGGCAGCAGCGCCCTGGTTGCGGAGCTCCTTCTGCTGCTTGAACTTCTGGAAGAGCTTCCTGACCGGATGGTCCTGCGGGATGGTGAGCTGCACCTCGTTCTTGGCCCGCTGGCGCTCCTCTTCCTCCTTCTTCACCTCGCTGATCTTGCGGAAAATTATCTGCAGGAAAACACACAGAAATGAACAACAGGCGGCTTATCAGGAAACTCATCATTTCATATGAATCCTATGAATAATAATTGTCAGTGTTTCGTTCCCCTCAGAGCGCTGCACATTAATCACTGGAGATAAAGCCGTTTTCTACAACAACCAGGGAAAAAAAGGGTTTTTTATTATTATGGAAATCTGTCAGTCTGTCAGAACATTTTCACCTGAGAACCTTCACATGTCACTTTCTGTCTTCGGTGCACTCAGGTACTGCAAAGTGTGTCTGACTGGTGGAGATCCGTGTTAAATTATCCATCAGAGCTGCTGCACCTCCCCCAGTATTATCCAGTCTGGCGCCAGCAGCTCTCCTGGCTCCTCTTACACACTAATTACATTGGGAATGACAGAAATCCCTGCCAGGCAGCAGCCAGCCGTCCAACTGGCTGTTTAAGTGTTATTCTTAGTTAAATGTTAACGCTCTCAATAGACGGTGAGCTCAGTGGACCTTTGAGTTGGAGGACCTCCGTCCACCGACCAACAACATCCTGAACGTCCTCCTCTGACTGAAGCGACCGTCTGCTCTGAGCTACGAGGAGGAACCGAGATGCCACATCAATCATTTCAGATCTCGGCGGCTACCTGGAGGCACGACCTGAAAGATTAGCACTTTAAATTAAATTAACTTTGTCACGATGAGAGCGCGTTGACAAAAACTAATTGAAAAGCTATCACTGGTGGGTTTTTCCTTCCTCGACTCCTGAAAAGAACAGCGAGTCCGATGTTTCCTCGAATCAAGACGAGAACCTGCCAGAGCTGATGATGTGATGGACCTGCATTTCATTAACCATCAGCTTCCATCAGCAGCAGCAGTGACAGTTTCCTCTCGTTGGCTCGACATGCGTTACAGAAGTTAATGTGTCTAAACAGCGCAACAAAAAAAGCAACGAATCAATCAGCCGAAGTGAAAGTGTCAGGTGAAGGTTTTTCATTAGAGCCTTTTGTAACATTTCACTTTTCTGTCGACTAAATGAGCACGAGGGGGAAAAAATCTGTTAAATCTGACTACAGCTTAGTTTTGGGTTGATTCTGTGCATGTCATCGGCAATAAGAGCAGAAACTGGCCGTTGGGCCGCTCATCGTCCTGACAAAACATCTCACAACAGCTCACAACTTCCAGCTACTTCCAAAACTCGTATACTCTAACGGTCTATCCAGTAAACTTCAGCGGCTTTTCTACAAACTTTTTTTTTTTTTGCAAAACAATCTCCATTTAAAGTCCAATTTTCTCTGGCTGCAGTTCCTCTAATGGCCACTTGAGACTACCTACAAAAACGAGTAAACCCCCATAGACCTCCATGTTAAAATGTCCAACTTTACAGCAGGAATAAACATGTTTACAGCAACAGTTTTGGTCTCTACTGCTAAATATCCCGTTCATAACGATTATGTAGGTGGGGAATTTGTGAGGGCTGTGAAGTATTTGTGGTGTTTTGGGATTTTGTCTGTCTCTGTGTTTTGGTGGGTGTGTCTCTGTTCTCTGCAGGCTGGCGGAGTCGATCAGGAAAGACACTCGCACGCTGGCAGCTGTGGCTCATCGGCTCATCAGCCGTGCCCTGTTCAAATACTGGCGTCTCACAAAGCCCAGCGCCAGATGATTGTGATACCTACCCTGTGGTACAGTCAGGCTGCTAGCTGCTACACTTCGCTGAGCATTCCTAGAATTTATCGATGTTTCTCTAGTCTCGAGCTTATCGTATGTTTTCTCTGCCTGTCTCTTGTGTCCCTCCTCGGCTCCGGCACTCAGCACTCCTCCAGGCACTCCAGCTTTTTGCACCACAGGAATTCACGACAACGGGCACCTTCACCGGGAGAATCTTCACGAGAGCAACCACCCACGAGCACCGAATCCTGAGCACCGGACCCCTGCGCACCACCCTGGTTTCCCTCCGTCACGGACCACGTCACAGAAGACCCCCACTCCTCTCTCACCACGACTGGCATCCCTGCACCAGATCCCGTCACTTGGTTATTCCCCATTATTTTCCCCCTCTGTAAATAAACCTTTAACTTAAACCTTTTCCCCCTGTCTCCCTTTTCGTTGTGGATCCGCCCTCACAGTCACGGAGCACAACCCGTCACAGAATTGCTATAAAACTCAACTGTTTCAACTTCATTATTGCTTTAAGTTGTGCATGTTATTAGTAATAAAGGAGAAAACAACTTCCACCTGCTGTTTTTTCCCAAAATTCCCACTCGCATACTGTCAATAATGTCCCTATGCTAACGTGGTAACTGACATGTATTCAGGAAACTTTAGACGCTTGTCCCCAAACTGTTTTCTTGAATAAACAACGTCCATTCAAAGTCTACATTTTTCAGCAATGCAGTTTGAATGATGGCTCAGAATCTAGTCTCCAACCAGCTCTTTACGTTGTAGCAGAAATCTGCAGTTCCTCCATTGTCCACTTGAGGCTGCCTACTAAAACGAGTCAATCCACATAGACCTTCATGTTAAAGTGTCCAACTTTACAGTAGAAATAACCATGTTTACAGTCTGGTACAAGAACAGTCTTGGTCTGCATAGCTATTTTTTTCCTTTTGTGACGACTACAAAGGGAGAGCCTTCAGATAACTCAGCTGTTAAGATTGTGTAAAGGCCTGAAGTTGTGCATAATTAAGGGCGTGGCCAGAGATCTCAACTCATGCACCACCTCTTTGCTAATTTTTCAATTAGCCTGAAGTCAAGAGGAGTCAGGCAATGCCAAGATGCCTCACTTGCTCAGGAAACCGACTCTCGGACAGGAAAACTAGCTGAAGAGAACAGCTTGGTGGTCTACAACCAAAAAACGGTA